ACATCGCTTGTTGAGCAGAAAAACGAACACTTTTTGATTCACCGATTTGTTTGCACTTCTCCTTCTGTTCTGTGCTAGGGGGTTAGCTCTGGTCGACATTCCGGCGAAAAATGTAAGCCGGTTGGCACCAACCTGACTTCTATCAAACCCCAACCCGATGTTGACCTGCCATTGACCCGACATAAACTTCAAATTGACCCGACAACAACACGACATTGGGTCGACATCGACCCTAAACTAGCCTTACATTGATCCGACATCGGGCTGACTTGTCTGTTTGGGACCATTTTGCTGGATTTCTTCCACACTCCACTGTCGTTTATGAAATGATAGTGGGGGACTCAATTGACAGTGACAATGAGCTTCGAATGAGAAAGGGGCTCTTCAAATGATGGGCACGAGAGATTTTTTTTTCTCTGAACCGATTTAATAGTTGTATTGGTTTATCTTCAATCGAATGATATGAAAATTAACAGCAGTGATGCTAGCTATCCTACAACGCTACAGTTATAGAGAAAGTACACTGTCGGAGAAACAAAGAGAGAGAGAGAGAAAGAGACTTAACACCGTTGGAGCGGCAGCTCTCCAACACAAGAAGAATGAAATGTGCTGCACGATTTAAAATGCTCTTTCACGTCTCTTTGGAAATGAAAGTGCAGTCTCGCAACAGCGTGTGTTTTACTCGCAAAAAATTGAGTAGCACCCGATCCCTGATCACAGGTATAAAAATGAAACTACAATGTGTTGAATCGGAACCTACCTAACTAATAAGAACCAAATATTTAAGGAGAAAAAATCCATACAACTCTCTAGTAAGGAAAATCCCAGGGAGACAGCTCTCACACCTGGACCCTACATATCGACCCATCAACTCATGAACAGGGGACCAACGGCTTTACTTCTCGAAGGAAGGTGGGATCAGATATGTTATGCCTCAGAACATGCCGGTGTGACTGAGATTGAACCCAGGCCTACTGGGATGAGAAGTAATCACGCTTACCACTTCACCACCGGCGCCGATTTCTTTCAAGGTGATATCACGGCGAATGAGAACGACCCTAATTTGAGTTTAGTTATCTCAGAAATACGAAATAAAGTGCAGGAACTCAGCGATGAGTAAATTTGCCTCATGTTTTCCCCGGTTTTTGCAGGATTTTCCAGGGAAAAATTCCCGAATTTGAGAAAAGTAAAGATTGAATTCACTCAGTCTATTGGTACTGCTCCGAGACTGAATAAAATTTTCGTCAATTTCCTCATTTTCTGGCAGATTTTTTAGGTTTTCCACAGGAAACCATGAGACAAATTTACTCATCGCTGAGTTCCTGCACTTTTGGCGATTATGAGTGAACTAAACTTAAATTTGGGTCGTTCTCATTCACCGGTACCCAAAAGGAAAAGAGCCAGTGTCACTACTTGATACCAAACTACTCATAATGGGAGGAGTCTTTGTAGCTTTTATACCACTTGGTTGCACATCATTCTGCTTTAACCTGAAACGATATAAAAGAGCGCTGCTGTATGGCATTAGCTCATTTTCGCTTCGGACGGCGTGGTGAACAGCAATAGCAGCAGTAGGAAGGTGGTGGCTACTCCACTCCTTCACTCCTAACAAGCAACAATTGACTGGTCGTGGCAAAGGAGGAAAGTGTCTGGTAAAGGAGGCGCCAAGCGTCATCGCAAAGTTCTTCGAGATAACCGCCATCGGTCGTCTGGCTCGCCGTAGTGGTGTCAAACGTATCTCCGGTCTGATCTACGAGGTGTGCTGAAGGTGTTCCGGGAAAATGAGGTCCGTGATGCTGTCACCTACACTAATCACGCCAAACGTAAGTGGCCATGGATGTCCTCTTCAATAAAACGGCCCTTTTCAGGGCCATCAAGCTTACATCAGTAAAGAGTTAGAATAGAATTTATCTGTGCTTGTTTGTCCATATTCAGAACCACAAGCCCCCAACGACCACACAAAATGCTCTCCAGAGTTTTAGTATTGTAACCAAACTTGGAAGCAGGGGTGCAAGTGATTTTGATTGATTCTCTTAATCAACTTTCTCTTTGAAAAAAATTACTACAAATTTGGTACGCCTACAATTCAAAAACGGAAAGAGTTGAGATAATAGATAATTGATCAATTAAAAGAACTAAATGCTCTTCACATTTATTCCGTCCACTAGCGGTCCTACGTCAAGCTTCCGTTCGTGCCCCCTAGGCACAGATCCTTCTACTTTTTTTTTTACTATATGTGCGTTTACGCTCTAACATTGAACGGATTTTCCAAGCATGGTTCCTTCATACCTCTATAATATTTTGAAAAATAAATGTTTCATTCACTTGAAGAGATTTCAGCTTCCAAAATTTAAAACACGAATTTATATTGGTTTATAAAATCCTCCATTTCCACGTCCATGGCTGCTTGAAATCGAAAACGAATGTTATTTCTAATCCTACTATCACTACTACTGACCTTTGTACACACATCAAAACAAAAATACTGGGAAATATATTCATTTGACCAATTGAGAATTGCATACACGTGAAATCGGTGACAGTTGCTCCGAATCACCTATGAAGGGCCATCCTAACTACTTATTCGAAAATATGGACGGAGCTGGCTGCATTCCAGCTGATAAAATATTAATGTATAATTATCGGTATGCTTTTCCATTTCACAATACATACACCTAAGTGCACCTCAAGGATTACAAAATCAGTCATGTTGTACCATTCATTGTACAAACAACCCCTTCCACGATCTGAGCAAACCTAATATGCTCATCTCATTCACGGCCAATTTCGCCACGCTCTCATGGCAGCAGAGGCAGAGATTGATGGAGTGAGTACACCACCCACCATCAGCCACCCACATCGCCCAGATGAATATAAACCTGAAACCGTTGTCGAGTGTCACCAGTGATACATCTCTTATCGTATCCTGGCATCCTTGTATTCTCCAATGCTTTCGGGGCCGAAGCTGGACAGACGACAGGCAGGACAGTGATACATTGTTAACGGGATGGTCTCTTGAACTCCTGTTGAATTAAAATTTCAAATGATCCAACCGGCAGCAGCGCTCGGCTCTTGGCTCTCTGTTTTGGTTGACGATATCCGTGCATACATACAATGAATTCCGAGCTAAGTGATGTGGTTTGGGGTCACTTTTCAACGGGGTCATGGGAATAACCCCAACGGAGCTGTTGGCTGGCAGGTATCTAGATCCTGCAAAAGCGAGAAATAGTTTCAGAGCTAATTGAATTTTGATTGAAGGATGTTTAGCATTGTCAACAGAGCGTAGAGTTGGTTGGCTTCTGCCAGTGGCAATGGGGTAAATTTTTAATTTAATTGACCATGTTGATTACGGATCTACTGCTGTGAAGGTGCCCCGAGAAGTGGGTATTTGTTGTTTAGTTTAACAATCATCACGTAGGTGTTTGTTTGAGGTAAACTTTTGATATGCTTCAGCTGCGAGTAAATATTTATTCAATTCAATCCGATGAACGGGCTTGAAATAGACAAATACTCCAACTGGAATTTTGTCCGAGACGTTTATTAAGGGCATTCAAAGCTTGAAAATAATTTCCGAAAAAAAATGTTGCTCTACAATGTTAACAATCCACTAATCATTGCTTTTCATTTCTTTTCAGGTGAGTAGCTGAACGATTGGGAACTCTTCGCAATGGCTTCACAGAGGTGCAATACAGGTTTTGATTTAAAAAGTTCATTTACAGTTCAAGCTCATGCACCAAAGGCTCAGCTACAACGTCGAGACACATATGGCCGAGTCAATTCCAGTTTTTGAAACTAATTCATGCTTTCTCTAGCGCTAAGCATTAGAGACTCTTCACTAGCATTAAAGCACAAAGAAAGAAGTCTGAATTTTACTGCGAACATCCTTTTCACGCAGAAAGCAACTTGCAAAAAATGCTAACAAATAAAACCAATTGCAAGCAATCTTTGTAATATTTCATTATAGGGGAAATGGCTCTAATGGATCTAAAATTGGGTCAATCGCTAACAATCTGCTATTTATCAATTTTATCTAGATGAATGCGTCATTGGGACGGTACTAATGAATATTTTTGGTCGCTATTGAAAATTTAGTCGATTTTTGATTTTATGTATGGGCCCAAATTAGGGGCATTCAGGCCGACATTACATCCATTTCTCCTATGTCTTATAACTTTACACGATCTATTATCAGCCATTCCATAGCAAAACGATATAGTGGTTCTCAGAATTTCGTAATTTTTTTTTGTTTTTTCCTTAGTGCAAAATATTAGACCCTTACTTTTTTTTGTCATTAGGGTGACCATTTCCATTGTTAGGGTAGTCCAAAAATAGTTTTTTTTTTTTAAATTGTTTTTTTTTTCAAAATTCATAGCTTTTGAACTAATGGGTTAATTTCTAATCTAATCTAATCTAACACCAGCCAGTTCACCTCCATCATTTTTCTTGTCTATTTGGTCTATTTTATACATCAGAGATGCGCAAGATATATCAAAACGGCCAGGCCTACTGTGCAGCATTTAAGGGGGAAGATGATTCAGAAACATCGGGCCTGTTTAAATCAAAGACGATGCTTCAGAATCCAATAAATGGATGACATCTCGTACCGTAGGTTCCGTTGTTATAAATGATTGGTAGTTGGGAGCATCTAATCTAAAAAAGTTATATGATGCTCCATTTTCCTCGAGTGGTTGGGACATGAGTACTAGCACTTGTCTTAGCCCTATATGGCTTATGGATATAGCGCCATTACTCGCTTTCTGAAAAGAAAATGTGTATAAACTAAAAAATGTGTAATAGAAACATAAGTTCTTTTAGCAACAGTTACGTGTATTGCTCGCTATAGAACCAGCGGATCAGTAAAATGTAATATAGTGAAAAAAAGCATTGCATTGTTTTCTTGACTGCATATCTTATAATATTCTAGAGATTCACACATTTCTCAATGAACAAATTTTGACATCTTCTAACATTAATAAATAGTTTATTAACATCTCGGACAATATATTATCATCATATTACGAACGTATTAACAACTTATAAGATTAGTAGGTTTAACTAGGTAACACCGTCGCTCATCCCCACAGGGACTTGTTCTTCTCTTTCATGATGATTACTTGCATGGGCACAGGCTTCTCCATGTAGACCGGGTGCTCCACGTACACTGGATAAGGCTTATCGACATGAACTGCGACTGGTTTGCGAATCACCTGGATGTGCTGCTTGACTGGGGTTTGGACGGGAATCTTGACTGGATGCTGCACTGGCCGATCAACCTGATAGGGGATCTGATTCTCTTCGTAGATGGGAGCTTTCTTCTCGGCTACTTGTGGGATGTTCTTTTCAAAGGCTACCGGGTATGGAACGTGCTTCTGATCCTGTACTGGGAAAAGTAATGAACTAAAACTGAAGATCTGCTTCTGCTGGGCCCAGTCATGCTGAGGTTGCTGTTGATTGTGATGATGGGGAAGTCTTTCTTGTTGTTGTTGATAGTAATGAGGCTGATATTGGGCTTGATGATGATGCTGTTGATAATCATGATCACGGTGGTGTTGATCTTGCTGCTGAGCGTACTGATAATGAACACCCTGATTCTGCTGCTGATGATCAACATGTTGGTAATGATCGATACCGTGATGCTCTGGAGCATGCTGTTTCTGAGATTCCCACTCGAGTTGCTGCTGTTGGATGTGCTGATAGTACTCCTTAGCTTTGTTCAACCGTTCCTCAGGTTGAATCCAGTTCTTCTGGTTGTGCTGGTGAACCTGATGGGGTTGATTGTAGTGATAATCCAACTGCTGCTGCTGCTGAGCGTGATTGTTGTGCGACGAAAATTGCGTTCCATGCTCGCTGCCAAAGATCCGTTTCTCCGTTCGATCCAAATTTTCCGCCAAGGTAGCTGACAGTACGATAAACGTAATAATAACGCTAACAAACGCCTGGAAGAACCAAAGATCAATTAAAATTTAATCCAATTAATTGGAAAGGGTTGAAACCTACCTTCATGTTGACCTCTCCTAGATGTGATTCACACAAGTGATCACAAACGTATGATACTGTTTGCCGGCTCATCCGATGGTTTTATAGGCGGCATCTTTTCCCAACGGCTTTTCCGACCCGATCGGTCATCTGAAGCACGACGCTAGTGGTGAAGGTACTTTTTTTTTTCGGGTGGAAAACCGTTGATGCGTATCGGTTGACCGTGTGTTCGTCAAATTGCAAGACCTACCCGAAGACGATGTAATCGAGTTATATATCTACCGCAACGAAAGTTTTAGTGCTTAAAGAAGCATTGATTTGGAAAATCTACAGTTGAGCAACTATCACTCAAAATACAAACGGAGTGCAGATGAAGTTCAACCGATTTCAAAAACTTTCATTGATTAATTATCCCGTCAAAGCGACATTATCCGAAATCCACCATCAAAATAATGAGGCAATCAAAATTAGAATAAGTATCTTAAGTATATTCACGCACAACAAAGGGCATGCACATCAAATCTAAATCTTCGGCATGTTTTCTTACAACAAATGTAAGGTCAGTTCTTAGAAAAATGGACTGTAGCGGATAAGCAAGAGTTTCTAGAGTTAATATTTTCATACAAAATCTTCATGAGTAGGGATGTCGTAAGATAATCGATTATTGCGATTAATAAATTGATCGACATTATAATCGATGAGCTTATAATAATTAACCACTACGCCTTCTAATCGACATAATCGATTAATTGATGTCGATTTTTTTTATCGGTTATTGCTAAAATTGTATTTGTTTAAATTAAGTAGTTCAAGGATAGTCATGTGCAATAAGAAATAACGACAACTTTTGAAAGTACTACAGTATTTATGTGAAGATGCCCAAAAGTTCAAAAAACTTCATGATACCTCTCAGATATTCTTCCAAAGCGGGAGAATGAACAGTAATTAGTGTGGATATGTTTTTGAAATACTTCAGATTGATTAAGTATTATTCGGAATTATATACATTTAAAAAAAAAGTACGGTATGAGTGTATCAAACGCCCCCTTGAATTTATATGAATATAAACGTTTATTTGAATGCAACAATGCCCGTTTGACAGCTTTAAAGTGTATAGAATTAATTGTAAAAACAAAATTCTGAAAAGGTTGCTTCCGATGTCATTTTTTTGCATTATGACAACAAGAATTCAAGCGATAAAAAAGCTAGTCAGATGTGCACTAGCGTGCACAGGAATCTTGTTAACGAGGGGCAATTTTTTTCTATGGTGCATTTAATCTGGGGATGGGTACGTGGTAGATGGTGCTGTCCTCCTCTCACATTTTCCCTACTGTTCAATTTAGCTAATTTTATTTATTTTTTGCTCCGGTGGTGGTTCATCTTCTTTACATTACATTGTACAACGACGTAATCATGTCATTTTGAATACGGTTACTTGTATACTGGCAATTTTTCGCACCTTCCGCCAAGTGTTTTTCCAGCACAGGATCGTAGTTAGCCACCAACTGGGTGGCACACTTTCCGCTCCTTCCGAATGTCCACGAAGTGGTCGGCTACCTTTGCAAAGTATGCGCACAAAATCGATGAAATGTTCCATTATATAGCGATTTTGTAGCCGCTTTGCCTTACTAGCAGCAATCATAGCTGTTTTTTGGTGGTCCAGTTCTTCGTTGATAGCCTTCCTGGTTTTGAAATTCTTCCACGCTTCCATACTACCAACATGGGTATCACTGCGATTGTGTTTGCCCAGCAACTCGGTCAATTTCTTCCAAATCTCTGAACCCTGTAGGAATCGTTGTAATAATGTTTTGCGTAATGCTCTTCTTTACAGGTTAAAAATACAAACCAAAGAAAATATATTCTTCAAGGCACTGGTATCATCTTTTATTCAGTTACCTTTCTGAAATTTTGTGCAGTACGTTTTTGTATATTTTGAAGGCATCGTTACAATTTTTGACTATTTCAAGTAAGTATTTTTGTAAGCCCTTATATGTTGTTATAGTCACTTTACTGTTACCGTTGCGAGAACGTTGAACTTGGTCATTTTCAGGAAAAATTGTAGTTTTAATTTTTTTCAAATTTTGATCTAAATGCCAAGGCTAATAGGATCATTAAAAGGTTTAAACAATACATAGCGATTGGACCAAAGGCGCACAAAACTATTTTGATAAACGAGTACAGGATTGTTAACGGAATGACGACTTGTGCGAAGGATTGAGCATGTCAACCACGGTAACAAATGACTTAAAATTTTCAGAGAAGATTCTTAGACAAATACTTAGTAAGACAACAATCGGCCAAGGTTCAATGGCAAACATATACCTAATTTTCAATCAGGGAATCCAAAAGCTGTCTTTAAACTTTGTACAGTTGCTAAAAAGTCCATCCTCAGAATTCCTTAGGTTCTTTTAGAAATTTTTAGAACTCTATGAGCTCTTTTGAAATTCTTCTCAGAAGTCCTCTGGAATTATTTTGAGAATACTTGTTGACTTTTACTCAGAACACTTGGAACTTAAATTCCCTTAGAGTTTCAGAAGAATTTTCTCTGTATTATCTAGAAATTATTCCCGGAATGAGCTAGAAATTATTGGTACTCCCTTGAAATTTTCCTCAAAATCCCTTTGAAATTTCACTCAAAATTTAAATTTCTCGGTATTCTTTTCGGAATTATCTTGGAATTATCTGCAGGATTCACTAGAAATTATTCGCAGACATTTCTTGGAATACTCCCCAGAAATATATTGGAACAGTCCTCAGAATTCAATATCCTTGAGGATCTTCTTGGATTTTTTAGAACTCTCCGAAGAGCTTTTTTGAAATTCTTCTTAGAAGTCCACTGGAATTATATTTACAACTCTTCATGATTTTTTTCTCAGAACACCTTGGAACTGAAATTTTTTTAGAGTTTCATAACTTATTCCCAGAATGAGCTAGAAATTATCCTTGGAATTCGCTAGAAATTTTGCTTAAAATCCCTTTGGACGTTCACTCAAAATTTGATTTTCTCGGTATTCTTTTCGAAATTATCTTGGAACTATCTGCAGGATGCACTAGAAATTATCCGCAGAATTTTATTTGAAATCTCTCCAGAAATATTTTGGAATTGTCCTAAGAATACAATATCCTTGAGGTTCTTCTCGGAATATTCTAGAACTTTTTTTTTCTCAGAACACCTTGGAAATGAAATTCCCCTAATGTTTCAGAAGAATTTCCTCTGTATTCTCCAGAAATTCTTCTCAAAATAAACTTGAAATTATCTCCGGAATTTCCTAGAAATTTTCCCCAATATCCCTTTGGAATTTCATTCGAAATTTGATTCTCTAGATATTATTTTCGAACTATCTGCAGGATTCACTAGAAATAATTCGCAGAATTTTCATGGAATCATCCCAGAAATCTTTTCTTTTGGAACTTCTCTTCAGAATTCAATACCCTTGAGTTTCTTCTCGGAAGTCAAGTTTAAGTTGCCCGTCCATTCACCAAAACATTATAGTTTTTCTACCAGAAATATTCAATAAAGCTTGCCTCTCCATTCACCAGAACTGTGCAATTTTAACATCAGGAATTTTCAATTCAGCTAGCCCCTTCATGCAGCAGATTGAATCTTACACCGAAAATAATACAAACTTGCCCCCGGAAAATTTAACACCAGGAAATTTCAATTGACCAGAACGATGCAAATAATTCAACGGTAATGTTCAATAAAAATTGCTTCTCCAATCTTCTGATTAGTGCAGATTTCCTTTTTCCATTTTCCACCAGACATTTTCAATATAGTTTGCTTCTCCTATCATCAGAATGTTGCAGGTTTTTCCAACAAATATAACTTGCCTCTATTTTCAGATTTTTTAGCATAAATTTTTGGTAAAGCAGCTTCCCTCCAATCATAAAAATGGAGCAAATTTTACACCAGAAATTTTAATTAAAGTTTGTTCCTCTATTGAGCAAAAGGATGCAAATTTGAGACCCAACATTTTCCGAAAAGCTTGCACATCCGTTCACCAGAATGGTGCAGATTTTTCTCCAGAAGTTTTCAATATAGCTTAATTTAAATAAAGCTTGTGCCTTCATTTACCAGACCAGTGCAAGTTTTCCACCAGAAATTTTCTGTTAATTTCATTTATCAAGCGATACAAATTTTTCACCAGAAATTTTCAATAAAGCATTCTCCTCCATTCACCAGAATGATGTACCAACAATTGTCAGTGAAGTTTGTTTTACCATGCACTTTTGTGGTGCAATTCTCAGGCACCAGAATTGTGCAAATATTCCACCATAAATTTTCAATGAAGCTTGCATTCATCAGAACGATGCAAATTATGCACCAGAAAAATAAATAAACCTTGCTTCTACATTTACCACAGTATTGCGAACGTTTCACAAGAAATATTCAGTTCAAGGTGCACCTTCAAATTTTTAGCGTGATTCAAATTTTCCACCAGGGTTATTCATTTTGATTAGTTCCTCCATGATTGATGATATGTTTACACCAGATATTCAATAAAAAGCTTTCTCTTCGATTTACCACCACAAAGGTGAATTTTTACAACCTTAAATTAACCCTCTTCTTTTATCGCTCCATGAAACACCTTGAAAAAAAAAATTTGTATGCACTACTGTGGTGCAATTTTTTGATCAAAAAATGTCATTGAAGTTTTTCCCTTCATGCACTTTTGTGGTGCAATTTTCAGACACAATCTCAAAAGAATTGACGCAATAAAAGGTGTACAGTGCCGTTATAGTATGAAATGAAGTTATTTAACCTTCAAATCAAGTTATCACGAAAACAAGTTATTTTATATCGTAATTTGGAAATGTGGTAATAAACATCTTATTTATAAAAGGAGGGGCAATTGCCCAGTGAGTAATCTAAAATTAGGCAATACCAGCGTCGGCCTCGTCCAAATACAGGTCAAAAAAGGGTTGGGTAGGAATGTGTTGACTTGATACTCGCTTTGTTGGAAGCCAAGGAGTCATCAACACTTTCACGAAAAATCACTGGAATGATGGATGAAAGGATTGGGTATGCAGCAAGGTTCGTTTTGGCAAATGGTACGCTGAATTTCCGTGACTAGATCGAGTGAAAAAAGCGACTAACGAATCTTGAATGTGGAGGGAAACGAAATTAAACTCTTGATGTTCTTCTCAGTAAGCAAAACCGGTCGCTCTAAGGCCATCGAGGCCAATATCACACCACTTATGATCAAGTTGTTGTAATCATTTTAACTCGGCACAGATGAAAACGACGATAATTTTCATAAAACAGGATGAGCAAGAATATTGTTTCTCAAAATTTTTAACATCCTTGAAGCAGTATCTCATGAAATACGCAAATAACGTTTAGCTGATAAGTGTTTCTATATTGATTACTCCTGGACCGAGGGGTACTTCGATTGGAAAAAAAAATTTGATTCATAAAAGTTAGACGAAAATAAACATCTTCTCCAATTTAAGTCCTAATCGGAAGAGGTGAATTACACTTTTGTTTTTTTCTCGGTCACTTGTCGTCGAATGACCCATTTACCGGTTCAAATCCGAATCGGTAAAATGAACCGATTCACAAAAACATATATTTTAGTTGTAACATCAATATCCCATAAATAGGTTCACTTATGGGCGTTGGCGGGTTAAGGGTAAGACCCAAGAAATTCAGTTTAGTTCTATGAATTTTGATAAACTTTCGTGAACTTAAATAAAGATCAAGGAACTTCACAAAAGTTCCATTAACTTAAAAAAAATCCCAGGAACTTTAAAAGATCTTCGGAAAATTTCAGGTGTACTCAATGATTTTTAGGTTAGTTCAGAGAGCTTTGGACCTGTTTTGAAAATTTTAAGACAGTCTCATGAACATCCGGAAAATTGTGGCAACTTGAGGGAAAATCCAAAAAAAAAATAGGAACATTTTTAAAAACTTCAGTTCCGTTCGATCAATTTCATTATAATTGCGGGAACTTTACAGATGTTACTAGAACTAAGCCCAAAAAACTTAAAAGAAGTTAATATTTCTCTCCGTACCGTGGGTTGATCACCTTTTCATGGTACGTTACGGAATGTAAGATCTACCACCAATTCCTAGTCCCGACTACTTCAAACTAGGGGAACAGGATTTTTCAGTAATCAAAAGAGCACATCTTAGTCCTTTTTACTTTTTATGCCTTGTTGATAGTGACAAGACTCGGCTTTGTTCACCGAGGATGATCTTGAAACAAGGAAAAAATGAGTTAGTTAGTCTTCATCTGTGTGATTTCTAATCTTCTATTCGTTGTTCTCTAGTTTGAAGTGGTTAAGACTAGGGTTCTGATGCATGATCATTATCGGTGTCATTCCTTAATTTTGTTGCTAAGGAATCCAATTTTGACTGACAAAAGGACGCGCCTTTGGAGGGTATTCCAACACTCCGAAGGGTATAAATAGCGAGACCTTTCAATTAGAGTCGGATCCTTACGATAAATGCAAAAATGACAACTGTAAAAAAAAACGAATACTTCATCATTTCTCAATAGTGATGAAGTAATACGACATGCACTAAACTAAGGACACGGGATATACTACAATAGATCAAATTACTGGTCGCAGTGATGTCGGGACCTAACAGAGAAAAAAAAGTGTTACAGTTTTATCAACGTCAACGATTCGGATCAGGACTACTTTTAGTAAGATCGTATTTTTAATTGCGATTAATCGATTAATCGACCCCAAACAGATAAGAACGAAAAAGTAATCGATTAATAGCTAACAAAAAACGACATCTTAGGCACTAAATTCAGTGATATACCAACTGTAAAATAATTTCCAACAGCCCCATTACTCTAAAACAGCACCATTTATTTCTAAAATTTAGATCAAGTATACAAACAGTAAATGTACCTAAAACGAACACATTTTCCAACAAACATCCTCTCAAGTTATTGTCGTGACGATGGTATGAAAACTCCCACTAATATCTCGCTCCGGCAAGGCTTGCTCACCCTCCAGTTTGCCGAGCTCCCTGCTGAGAACCAACAAAATCAGCACATAGAACCCATTGGCCGCCCAAACCACCACCATCACTATATCCGGTGAGCTCCAGAAGAGAGTGAGCAGCCCAAAGTATCCATAGGTAGCCAGATTAAGCACCGTAAAGACGGCTCCCATCAACGGGATCAGCTTCTTCCGGGGACACATCGCTAGCAGTTGCACCAGGGCTGCGCCAAACGTAAAAGCCGTCATAGGAATGGCCATACGAGCGGCGATGTCTTCCTCGAAGTAAAGGTAGGCCGCTCCGGTTAGAAAAGTAACGAGAAACGATGCAATCACCAGTTGGTACGTGTTCAGGAATATGCAGAAGAATCCCAGAAATGTGAAGGAGATTCCGTTGTAGACAATGTTCCAGAAGGTATCCCAAAATGCGTCACCCACGAAAAACGGTAGCAACGCTCGAAGTAGGGTTTCGTTGTCGTTGATGAACCTGGAATTTTGATCGAATTATATTGAGAAAAACTTCACTACTCCGTACCAAATCAAACGCTTACCACTGAAGAGTAATATTGCTGATGGAGGCAAGAGTCACAGTTCCAAAATTGGCTATGACTAGCAATTTCCGAAACTTGAACTTGCTACCATCTTCGAACGTTTCCTTCAATGCCTCCGTCCAGAAGTCGCAGGGGTAGAACAGAAAAAACTGAATCATTGCAATTGCCACGTTGAGGAAGCTCTCAAAATGCTCCCAGATTTGCTCAAACTCGTTGACGATCCAGGGAAGAACGGCTGCTCCAAAGGTTTGCGCCATGATACCGTAGATGACGACGGAGAATCGGTCCCCGATCGGACTGTAGATCACTATTTGATAATAGTACAGAAGCATTTTTCCTGCCCAAAAAAGTTCGGAAGCGAAACCGCATCCCAAAAGGATATCGTCGAAGGCCTTCGGAACGGAAAGAAGCTGATAGCATACGACAACGAGTGCATGTCCAAGGCCGCAGACTCTCCGAACGAGGTTGAGATTAGCTGTCCAATAAATCAAACCACAAATCAAGATCGGGGCCACAATTCGTGCCACGTAGATATTTGGCAGGTATTTGATTTCCACGTCTTCATCTTCCTCCGCTTCCTCCTCGATACCCGTGTAGAATCCTTCAAACTCCGCTTCCGCTTCGGCTTCATCTGCTGCCCTGCGTTCACCGATCCTCATGTGAGGATCATAGCCAAGTCCAGTAAATGCCAACGCCACAATCGATAAGTAAACAACACACAGGCGAATCGCTCCATCAGCACTGTGTATGACTTCCGGAGATCTTGCTTCGCTCCCCGACTCAATCATCACTGGCGAAACTATTCTACTGAACTATTGGCAAAAGCTGCAACCCACTTCCGAGCGAACGGTTTCCAACGGAAACTGCACCGTTGTTGGTTCGATTGAGCTTCCGCTTCCTGATTTCCCACGACCACACCCCCATGGTGTGCTTTCTTTTCCACTTGCAGTGAACTCAATTTGAGGCATTTTTCCATCACCAAACGAAAAAAAAAACGCCCATCGCGAGGAACATATTGCGTGCACCCGGGGCACTTGTTGCATTCGATGGGAATGTTTCTCATTTTCCCAACTTTTTATTAGTTTCCTGGGCAAGCTTCTAAGCTGGCCCAAGGGGCACCTGCTGCAGCGCATGGCTACAGTTATATTATTTGCTCGCACCCCAACCCTGCAACTAAGCTTTCCCTTCGGGGAGAACCAAAAAAAAAAAATTCATCAACAGCTTGTGTGTGCACTCGCCAGGCAGGACTCAACCCAAATGGAGTTGTTCTGCTGAACTACTTTTTCATTTTCACTCGTTTCGGGTAAACGGGGTAAACCGTAATTGTGTATAGAGCAGTTCCACGCCAACTGATGAATCGATTTTATATTTCCCTGTCCGAATTCCGTGAAACTTCGCCTAATTGTGCACGATGACACCCCATAAGCCATACGGACGTTTGCCATACGGACGTTTGCCATACGGACGTTTGCCATACGGACGTTTGCCATACAGATGATTGCCATAATGGTCATTAGCCATAAAGTACGATAGCCGATATACGATATACATACGATAGCCTGACTGGATGTTTGCCATAAGTCTATAAATTCGTGTATAATAATGCATTTCGAATTGTCATCATGGACGTTTGCCATACTTCATGTTCAAATCCTTATTTTGTGACTCGGAAAAATTGGGAAAGAAGTGCATTCATTACCTAGAGCAATGAAGAACAATTGCTTACACGGTAGCTGCACGTAAACTAAAAGTGTCAACGTGCTTAGGTCCCAATGGAATTCCGTCGGTGTTTTTGAAGAACTGCATTGACAGCTTGCTCGAGCCACTTCAAGTGATCTTCAGCTTGTCGCTTTCATCCGGAGTGTTTCCGTCCTGCTGGAAACGTGCATACATGTTCCCTGTACACAAAAACGACGATAGGAAGAATGTTGATAATTATCGCGGAATATCCTCGTTATGCGCTGTTTCCAAACTCTTTGAGCTTGTTGTGATGGAGCAATTATTCTTTCATTGCAAGCAATTTTTAAGCCCAGACCAGCATGGTTTCATTCCCGGTCGTTCACCGCGTCAAACCTTTTATGCCTCTCTTCTTACGTAACCGACAGTATGCTTTAACGAGCACAAACGGATGTATTATATTTGGACTTTTCCGCAGCATTCGAAACTATCAAATTGCTGTAGCGAAGCTTGAAAAGCTTGGAATTCATGGAACTCTTTTGGATTGGTTCCAGTCCTACTTGAACGGTCGTCGCTCGCAAGTAGCCATCGGCGAATCCACTTCAGCTTCATTTCCAATTGTAACCGATAAGTGATGGTAGTGCCGGTACGAGCAGAGCGGTCGGTGTTGAAACTGAACACATATAAACAGGTACAACCGAATATATAGTTCGAAAACATTCTGCTGTAAAAATAACTATGGTTTAGTGAATATATGGATATGAACAAAACATTTGGTTTTCCTATAGTAATTTCCATATAAACTTCAAATGGTTTGTGCCAAGTCAGTTTCTTATCAAATGAGTTCAAATGTTGGGAGACTAATCAGGACCCGATTTGGAACCGTTTGAGCACTGTGGAGCGAAAATGTCAAAATTTGCATCAGTCTAATATACACTGTCAGGCCACCATATTGGATTTCTGTACATCATCTTGAATTCAAAAATGGCGGCGGATGTCCATTTTCCACTTCCACTTATCGAACCCATTCCGCAGATACCCACATTGCATGGGCTTAGATATATATTTCCTGACCAGGATCCACCTAATTGGGTTTTGGTCCGCCATCTTGAATTCAAAGATGGCAGTGGATGTCAATTTTCCACTTCCACCGAGTCCATTCCGCAGATACCCATATTGCATGGGTTTAAATGCATATTCCCTGTCCGTGGGCCACTATATTGGATTTTGGTCCGCCATCTTGGATTACAAAATGGCGGCGGATTTCACTTCCACTTATCAAGCCCATTCCGCAGATACCCATATTGCATGGGTTTTTTTTCCTCTGTTCGGGACATAACACTACTGCGACCAGTAATTTGATCTATTGTAGTATATCCCGTGTCCTTAGTTTAGTGCATGTCGTATTACTCCATCACAATTGAGAAATGATGAAGTATTCGATTTTTTACAGTTGTCATTCTTGCATTTATCGTAAGGATCCGACTCTAATTTAAAGGTCCCGCTATTTATACCCTTCGGAGTGTTGGAATACCCTCCAAAGGCGCGTCCCTTTGTCAGTTAAAATTGGATTCCTTAGCAACAAAATTAAGCAATGACACCGATAATGACCATGCATCAGAACCCTAGTCACCACTTCAAACTAGAAAACAACGAATAGAAGATTAGAAATCACATAGATGAAGACTAACTAACTCATTTTTTTTCCTTGTTTCAAGATCATCCTCGGTGAACAAAGCCGAGTCTTGTCACTATCAACAAGGCATAAAAAATAAAAAGGACTAAGATGTGTTCCTTTGATAGCTGAAAAATCCTGTTCCCCTAGTTTGAAGTAGTCGGGACTAGGAATCGGTGGTAGATCTTACATCCCGTAACGTACCACTAAAAGGTGATCTACCCACGTTACGGGGCATTGCATGGGTTTAGATGCATATTCCCTGTCCGTGGGCCGCCATATTGGATTTAGGTCCGCCATCTTGGAATTGTGGAAGCCATCTTGGGTTGAATTCCACCATTTTAATTTCATCCGAATTGTTGACTTGAATTTCGGAATGCCCCAAACTCTAAAATTTAATATATCTTCTAATCCTATGATTTTCGATGATTTTTATCTTGGTTGATATTGATGCTGGTTGATTTTGGGAATCGAAAATCACGGCTGATATTGGTCGAAAATCACGTGTGATTTTCGTGGTGATGCTGGCTTGCGATATTGGTGCCTGTGATTTTAGGTGATATTGATCTTGAAAGATTGTTGATTTTGATTTTCTGATCTTGATTTTAGCCAACACTGCTAAGAAGTTTGAAATAACTTCAGAAAGTACTGACTCATTAATTGAATTACTTCAGACAATTTCGGAATCACTTCGAAAATAGCTGAATCAGTTAGTAATGCACTGAATCACTTCAGAAATGTTCGGAATCACTTCGGAAAAACTGAATCGCTTCAGAAAGTTCATAATCACTTCGGAAAGTAGTGAATCATTTCGGAAAATACTGAATCATTTCAAAAAAAAATCGGAATTACTCAATATCGGGTTGTAGATAGTGCACTGTAGTTATGTTCAAAAACGAGATCTATCTGTGCTGACACTGCGTTACATTACATTACATTAAGAAAGTTTAGAATTACTTTGGAAAAGTTAGAATCACTTCAGAAAGTACTGAATAACTTGAGAAAAGCTTAGGATCACTTTGAAAAGTACTAAACCATTTCAGAAAAGCTTAGTACGTACATAATCACTTCGAAGAGTACAGAAGTTTGCAAAAGCTTTCAAAAAATTGGAGGTAGGTATAATATTCAAACCCTCAAAGATAGACTAGCTTCCGAAAGTGTTACATTTTCTGTACTGATTCAACACTTTCGGCATTAATGTCAAACCGTTGTTACTCCAACGACCTCTTGGGAACGTCTGAAAAAAGAACCTGATATAAACGGAAAAACCTGGCACTGAAACAATAAACGTATTGCCTATTAAGGTTTCCAACGGTAACATCAATTGTAACATCACAAACACATCTGATTGTCATTTGCGTAGTTTGTTTTTCGGAACTTTGTTTTGCCCGAGGTTTTGCCTGAGGTTTAGCCCACGGATTTATTTATCACCGTCTTCGACTAGTCGTACCGACTGAACTATTATACTTATAAACTACAAATTACTACTAATCCTAGTTCTAAAAATGTTTCAAGTCAAGTTAAAATCGAATTCGTCACAGACAACATTGAACAAGCGAAGACACGAATCAAAAGGGTTGTTGTAGCTGTGGTATGGGACTGCTATTAAAGCTGAGTTCCGAAACCGTCGAGGAGGAATGTTAAGCGGGATCTGTGCGAGAAGTTCAGGGCAATCGATAGATCCTCCAATGACATCGAAAATAAATAGCCGCTGCATCGTTACTCGTCAGACAGATAGTGGTTCCAATCCTATGAGCTAGCATCGGTCAGAAAAAGGAGGAAGATTGGTCGGATCGTTCCAAGGAAGTTGTCTCAGTGCAAACCGTGAGAACCTTTTCTGCACCCGTTCAATCGTGAGAACATGAGCTACATAATAAGGAGACCAAATCGGAGCAGCGTACTCCAGAATGCTACGAACCAACGAGAAATAGAGAGTTTTTAAAGCGTGGATGTCGGTGAACTCGGAAGCGTGGCGACGGATGAATCCCAGCATAGAAAAAGCTTTGACAGTGGTAATGCTCACGTGTTCGTTGAATCTGAGCCTCGAATCGATGGTAACGCTGCGGTCACAGATGGACGACACACGTTCCAATGATGCAGTTTCCATTCTGTATTGATGAAGACTGGGGTTATTGCAGCGACCGAAGATAAAAACTTTGCACTTCATGTTATTGACCCGCATGCCATTATCGTTACACCATACCAGTATAGTATCAATATCTTCTTGTAGGGCAATATAATCCGGAACAGAAGCTATGACACGATACATTTTTAGGTTATCAGCGAATGAAAGCTTAAACGAGGAAAGCAGCAGACACAGGCCATTTAGGAAAATGTCTAGAAATGATTCAGGGTTTTTCCTGAAATTTGGAGAATTATTGGAGATTTATATTTCAAGGGCGAAGGTTGGGTTGGGTGCGACTACTTAGCTCAAACTTTAGGAATACTGACTGTATATCCAACGACCCATTTCAAGAATGCCTGTTCATACACGTACATTCTGAGGTCGCCTCTGTCAGCAACATTGATAGCATGGCGTCCTACGCCCCGACATGTATCTGATTCGACGCTCCTAGCGGCCATTATATTCGGTCTGGTTGATCACCAGGTCTCTGGCAGGTAACTTAGACTGGTATATGTCTGGCCGAAGCCAGTGATACTACGCCCCTAATGGTTCGTACAACAAATGG